GCTGGCAAGGAGCCCTGCATCGACCTGTGGTGAATGAGAGGAACGGGGACCCTTCCATAAATTAGGAGGCTCCAACAGAGGACATTCAAGTACCGGGCAGACTAGCCAGAACAAGACGATGCAGTGACTTCAGTCACATATTCCCCTCTCAAGTGGGATTGGTGGAGAGCGCCTGACCTGGGTGACGCCGCAGAATAAGACCCAGTAGGCTAGCCCAAACCAGGTCCCTGCACCTGGCAGTGCACCCTAATGCAGGGAAGCCTTCAGCAGGTTGACTGACATGGAGGGGAAAGTCCAACATAGGCTGCCCAGGTCTGTGTCTCCCTAGTACATTGCAGTGGGCGGGAACACCTAGCTGGTGCAATTCAAACAAACTGTAACCGACAAGGAAAGAAGCTGGGCCTGCTATATACGCTTGTATGGAAGGAACAAAAAGTATGGGAAGAGGGAACAACAAGAAAGAGTCCTCAGGCCCTAATCCTGAGAACACTGATCAGGAAAGGTAAACGTAAAGGAGAATGAGGACAAAAAACATGCAATATCAGGCACGGAACCAAAAAAAAAATAAAGCAATATCTCCGGGACCTCATAGATGAGTTCAAAAGTGAAGTATTTAACCAATTAAAGCAAGATATAAGTAGAATAGTTAAAGAAATGTTAAGCACCTCCCAAGAAAAAACAGATGGTGGTATGGAAGAATAGAAAAAAAAGGGGAGAATTGTTTGATGGAGAAAATAGAGAAAACGCAGAATACATGAAGCAGGTTCAAAGAGAATACCAGGGAACTAAAAACTCTATTGAAAGCTGGCATAACAGCTTGAAAGAAACTAAGGATAGATTATCTGAACTGGAGGACAGATTTGTAGTGTGGGAGCATGAAAGGAAAAACTTCTTAAAAATAACAAGGAAACAAGCAGTAACAATACAAAGGCTAGAAGATCATAAGAAGATCTGTAACTTAAGAATTAAGAATATAAAGGAAGAAGCAGGAATATAAACAAGTGAACTGCAAAGGCTATTCACAGAAATAATCAAGGAAAATTTCCCTAATATGGGAAAAAGTAAAGATACTCAGATCTATGAGGCATACAGTACCCCAGCCACCTACAACCCAAACAGAACATAATAATCAAAATTCCAGAAATCCAATATAAGAAAAGAGTATTAAAAGCCGTCAGAGACAAGAAACAGATCACTTACAAGGGAAGACCCATCAGAATTACAGTAGACTTCTCACCACAAACCATCAAATCACGAAGAGCGTGGGGCAAAATAATTCAAGCTTTGAAAGACAATAACCTCCAGCCAAGATTGATATATCCTGCACAACTGTCCCTAGAAATTAATGGAGAAACAAGGTGCTCCCAGGATAAAGAGGAACTAGGGGAATTTGCAACCACCAATCCAACTCTACAGAGAATACTGCAGGACAGTCTAAAAGAGAAAAATACCAAGATTCCAGAAACAGTAGTAGAGAGGCCACAATGAATGGAGCAGAAAGCAAAATGAAGAAGACAAACTGACAACTAATGACAGAAAAACAGCTCAACAGAAATGAGGCAGAGAAGGTTGGATTGTAGGAACAGCTATTTTGGAGAAAAGACATCATAATAGCTAGTGCTGATTTAATATCGTGTTTTGAAGTCCCATCAAGCTTTTGTTCTTCTGTCTCCATCGGTCTTAACATGTTGTGTCTTATTGGATTTTATTATATGTGATAATATAAACAAAAACTTTTATAGACAAGGAGATTATACAGAGACCATTGTTCATTTTCTGTTAGTTCTAAATACCCTGTAATACTGTCATTCTCTTGAATGGTTTTACATTGTCTTGATAAGTTTGATGCTACAGTATACGAAGTTATACTCAAAGATTTCAAGGAAAGAGACACTGTGGTAACTACTTTTATGTCGGGACATCTTGTGCTGAAACACTATTTTGCTTAAATGGTTATGTTCTGACCTGTGCTGTTTTGTTGTTATGTCCTTTTTTTATGTCCTCTTTTATTATTTTTTTTAAATTTTTATCTTTTTAATTAAGGGAAAAAATAAAAAATAGAAGGATTAAAAAAAAGTTTAATTACCCTACAAATAGAGGAACTACCATTAACTCTAACAGTTAACACATCACAATAATTATTTCCTACGAAAGTGGGATGTCCATGTTCTGGTCAGTTTACCAAGACCTGCTCTTTTCCTAAAACATAAGTGTTGAGTTCAAGTCAGTCTACCCTGTATATAACCAATTCTGAGAAGGTTTATCCTACACCAAGCCTCCTTTCTCAAAGGGGAAAGGCTTATTCCCCCAGCTCACGAGGAATGTAAACATGTAATGGAGACAACAGAGGAAAAATCTGAAATGATAGCCAAGTAATACTCTTCGCAGGCATTAAATTTTTTTTTGACTAATAAAGGAATTAATCTAACCAATTTAGAAGAAATTTCAGGACTACACCATAACTGGAACCCTTATTTCCTGCACTCTAGATCTGCAAGAGTATTTGAGTATACAAATGCTCTACGTCTTCAGGGACTAATGTAGCACAGCAGAATCAGGTTGTAGTAGAAAAGCTGTTTTATTATTCCCTTTCAGAGAGAATGGGCACTACCCAACATCCAGAGCACCCAAAACTCCGCCAAGATATCGATGTACTTTAATATGAAGATACTAAATAGGATTTTGCTCTGCTGGAAACATAAAACTTTTCACAATGCACACAAATACTCTATTCACTGCCACAGGGCTATTCAAGGAATCCATACTGTTTGGATGTTCAAAAATTTGGAATTTACCCCATCTGGTAAGCAACGAGCAAAAATTCTTTTGCTTTCCACAATACTGTGCCATCTTTGTACCACCTGGAGTAGACACCCCAGCCAAATACACCTGTATGATTCTAGGATACGAAGTACATATTCTGGAAATACAAACAAGCAATCTGGATAGTGAAGTAATCTGGGAAATTAGAGCAACTCATTTAGTACTCAGAGCTTTTCAAAGTAATTATTTGGTGTTTAGTTTATTATCATAATAATGTAAAAGGGCAAAAGGAATCTGGATACCCCCCTCCCAGAAAATGAGAACTGGTGCTATACTCACCTTATCTTGTAAGGTGAGAACGGTCACTTTATGGACATTCAGCCGTACAGTCACTTCTGGCTTGCTGGCACATACGTAACAATTAGGGTTGGGAGGATCCAGTGCACAAGGCACAAGAAGCTTCTTTCTTGGGTTTGGTTGCTTATTCAAAAAAATCTTCAGAGAAAAAACATTAGCAGGAATCAGAAAAGTGAGTCACAATTCTACAAACCAACCTAAAAATCTTACTATATATCCAACTTAAAAAATGACTTCAATATTGCCTGTTTATTTTAGGGCAAAAGATCAAGAAAATTATAACCTTGAGAGTCTGATTTTTCAACCTTCTTTCCTAATCAGCTATCATGAACAAGGGTGCTTACTATAAAAGTACTTTCTTTGAGTTATACAAAACTCTACATTCCTCTGCTACATAACAGGACACATTCAAAAGTCTCTGGTATCATTAAATCAGCTTTTGGAGTATCTTTCCTAGTGTTTATTCATATCAACTTTAAGTTCTCAACAAAATCAATATTCAGTTCTAAATTTAATAATGCTTTCACTAATGCCTGGAACCAATCAGACTGCATTTCCTAAGGTTAGTTAAAACATATGTTATGTATGCTGATAGTGATAGTATTTCTTTAATACCCCCCTCAAAGAACCAAAGTAAATAAAGTATACTTAATTTAAGAAAGGGCTCAACTCCTGTAGCACAATCATATAGGGTTTGCCCAACATGTGCAAGGTTCTGGATTCAATCTCTAGCACCACAAACCAATACATGTATGCGTGCACATGCATGCGAGCCTATTATTTCCAGAGTTAGGAAAACAAGAATATCATTCATAATTTCTCCAAGAATACTAGTAAAGGTGAAAAGACTAGAAACAAAGTAGCTTCTGCTTCCATTTATCAGATAAAAATGTAAGAAGCAAATGTGCTTTCTTTCTACTGCACTTTCCAGAAAGGTTAAATATAGTACAAGGTAACTGGAAAAGTTACTTTTCATCACTTTAAAACAATTCTCTTGGATTAATTTTGAAAGTTGCCCATTTAATATGCTTTTCAGATTTTATTTTTTGGTGCTCAGGATCAAACCCAAAGCCCTGCACTGAAATACTCTGCCATCCCCTATAAATTACTTTTAAAAAGAGGCTGAATTAAAAAAAAAAAAAAATACTCACTGTTCTACATTGATCTATTTTTCCTGATAAAATCTTTAATCCTTCCAATACTATCAACCCGGCAATCACTGCATTAGTAGTAGCAATAGCAGGAATAATGTTCCCTGCCATTGCTGGGGGGAAAAAAGATGGACATGTTTGGCTGTTAAAAAACAAAATACAACTCTGAGGTTTCAATGATACAAAGAAAGTATAGAACAGCTTACATTTTATATCGAATCTGCTCTTCATACTCATACTGAAAATATGCATCCTGAGGTTTGCTGCAGAGGTGACAAAATCCATCGCAGATGGGTCATCCTGCCAATAACAAATACCGTAACAAGTCTTCCACAACTTCACCAGTTTGACTAGTAATTCTTTCAGAGCAGACCTTTCACATGCTTATAAAACTGCAGACAACCAGAACAAGATAATACTGAAGGAGATGCTTGTCAGCAAAGTCTTAAAACAGCCTCAAGGTCTAGAGTTTGGTAAGACCTTCTGCTTTGAGAAGATTTTTTTCCCCAGCGTAGAATTCAGAAACAGGGGCTGGGGATTTAGCTCAGCGACATAAGCGCCTGCCTTGCAAGCAGGCAGTCGTGAGTTCGATCACTGGTACCGATAAAAACGAAAAAAAAAAAAAAAAAGAATTCAGAAACAACACTGGACAAAAGAAACAGCACTGCATGTGCTTCTTTCACCATGTGATTTGTGTGTAAAACTCTTCATTGTACAAAGCTGACGCTAGTGCTCACTTCAGCAGCACATATAATAAAACTGGAATTATACAGAGAAAATTAGTGTGGGCCCTGTGTAAGGATGACACTCAAATTCATTAAGCACTCCATACTAAAAAAAAAAAAAAAAAAAAAAAAAGCTGAAGCTGAAGGAATCCATACTGTGTTCTGTTACATCCAGGCTTTTTTTTTTATCTTTTTGAGACAATGTCTCACTATGCAGCTCAGGCTGGCCTTGGGTTTACTTTGTAGCCCAGGTCTCAAACTTGCAAATGATTCTCCTGCCTCAGCCTCCCCAAGTGCTGGGCATTTCATGACATCTGATGCTAACAGACCAAGCACTATTACTATTTTGTTTATGCTTTGGGTCACTTTCCAGCACATAACGATGGCTACCACAAAGATGAATGACTGCTGTGTTGTATATGACACAGTTTAATGATGCAGCAAAGGTTCGGAGCCTGACATGAGCTTATCATACGTGGTGGTGGCACATCCTTGTAATTGTAGCACTCAGGTTGAGGTAGGAGGATAGTTGTGAGTTCAAGGTCACTTTGAACTTTACAGTGAGACCCTATCTCAAAAAGAAAAACAAAGACCATGGAGACTCATTTTTTTAAATAAATTCTTGAGTGAGATACAACTGTTCGCTTCTTATTCTCAAAAAAAAGCAAGATGCTCTTTATTCTCAAAAAATAGAAGTAAGAGGGCTGGTGGTATAGCTCAATGGCAGGGTACCTGCCTGGCAAGTGCAAGGTCTTGAGTCCAATTTCTGGTTCCAAAAACAAAAAAAAGAGAGAGACAAGATTGGGGGCACATGCTTGTAATTCCAGTACTCTGGGTAACTGAGGCAGGAGGATGACAATATCAAGCCCAGTCTGGGCAATTTCATGATTTCATCAGACCTGTCTCAAAAATAAAAAAGAAAAGTTAAAAAAAAAGAAAGAAACTGGGCATGGTAGCACACATCTGTGATTCAAGTACTCAGAAGACTGAGGCAGAAGGATCATCAGTAGTTCAAGGCCATACACTGGACTATACACTGAGAACCTATCTAAGGTCAGTACTAAGACCCACTACCTAAATAAATACATAATTCTCAGTTCCAAGAGTTCTTTATTCAGTTCCAATAAATTGATCAATTTTCTAAGTTATTGTAATAACAAAAATAGGCTAGGGATTTAGCTCAGTGGCGTAAGCACCTACCTGGCAAACGTGAGGTCATGAGTTTAATCCCCAGTACCAAAAAAATAAAATAAAAAAATATAAAAACAAAAATATTAAAGAAGCTACCTTTCATACCATGTAAACAAAAGACTAACGCTAATAATGATCTCAAGAATCTAATGTGTGATCCAGTTAAAGTTTGTATACACAAAGCTAACTCAGGTTTCTAAAACTGGCCAAACTCTTTCCCTTACATTAAAATCCACAGTAAATCTTTACCACTGTAAGAAGATATAAACTTTTATCAGACAACTCATATACTATAATTAACATCAAGTAAAATTTTCAGAGTTGGTGGAACAGGCCTGTAATCCCTGCACTCTAATCCCTGCTCCCATGTTCCAGCCCAGCCCAGAGAACTTAGCAGGAATTTGTCTTGAAATATAAATGGGCTGGGATATAGTTCAAGAGGAAGGCCCTGAGTTCCACACCCTGTTTAAAAAAAAAAAAAAAAATAGAACACCTCAATATAATATATAACTGCAAAACAGAAATGGTGGCTCATGCCTATAATCCCAGGAGCCAGTAGATTAAGGCATGAAGCTAGCTGCCAAGTTTGCAGCAGCTTGGGCTATACAGTGAATTCACAGCCAGGCTGAATTATAGAACATGACCAGGGTCTTTTTCTCAAGAAAAAGAAAACAAATGTAATACTACATAGTACTATTCAATATTATTTGACACTTAAGAGTAAGTCTTTTGCTCAGATCTCCTAAATAGTTGTAATTATTTCAATAGAAAGGCAATTTTAATCCTTCTAGGTCAAATGAAGCCAATGAGCTATTGTCTCCAAAAAGATTTTGTGAATTCTATTAATAAATATATACTGAATTTAAAGTACATTTTCTTAACTCAGTGGAATATTCTGCTTTAATAAATTCACATTATTTTTCTTGTCAATTATAAACCATGAACCCGTTACTAATACCACTTGAATTCGTGTACAGAAAATTCATACTGTAAATACAGTATGTAGAGATTAATATAAATCAAATTAAAAATCTGACCAATGATACCCCCAAAATTCCTTCTTTATTTTACTTTTTAATTTTTTTAATTCCTAACTTCAATTACAGCTCACAAACTAATATATACTGTGAAACATAAGTAATTGACACACATTTTCAAAACAAACCTTATCCCATATGAGCTCAGCTCCATCCCCCTTTTCAGCTAAATGAACTCTCAAAGTCTCTATGCTCTTTGAAAAAAGACGTGCATAGCTCTTCACATCTAGAACCTGTTGGTCCTTCAGACCTAACTGGGGTTCATTTTGTTGGTCTGATGTGTTGGTTTCCTCTCCTAAAAGAAAAATAAAATAAAATTAGAAATTTCAGAAATTTTAGAAATAAATACCATTTCTTCAGTGGGTTCCATTTAACAAATTCAATCCTTTACCAGTAAGGGGGGAAAAAAAAGTGGGCACAGTGGAGAACACCTGTAATCCAAGCTACTGAGGAGGCTGGGGAAGAAGGATCACCAATTTGTAAATAAAGAGGGGAAGTAGGGTTGAAGAGAGGAGGGAAATGGGAGAAAAAAAAAGACTCAAGATATAGCAAGTATGTACAAATCCCATATGATGTTTATCATTATGCATATATTAAATGTAAAAAAAGAAAGGACTGCCAAGTTTGAGGCCAGCCTGGGCAACTTAGACCCTGTCTCAAACAAAAAAAATGAAAAAAGGACCAGGGATGCAGCTCTCTTAACAGCCCTAGGTTTAGGAACTGCAAAAAAAAAAAAGGCGGGGGGGGGAATCCATTAAAATTGTCCATTATCACAATACAAATATCTGTGCAAGAGACCTGTTAAAAAATTGAGATGATAAAGGTGTAAGACCATGTCAGGAACTCACCTGGTGGTTGGGGAGTTCAACAATATAATACAAATAAGATAATAAGCATTAGTTAACACCAAGTGGAAGCCGTTTGCCCAGTGAGTATTTCATGTGGTTGAAATTGCTTCTAAATGACATCTCATGTCTCTAGGAACCTTTTAAGTATCAAGGTGCTCTGTATGGCACTGAGTAAATAATTCAGATAAAGCAGAGACAAAAAAATTATCAACAGATAGTGGGGTAGGGAAGTACTCACTGCACTTAACAAATTCCATATGATGTTTACTTCCATACAAATTCCATATGATGTTTACATCCTAAGGGACTAGGGATTGAACTCAGTGGCAAAACCACCTGCCAGTCAGGTTGTGAGTTCAACCCCCAGTATCAAAAAGAAAAAAAAAAGAAAGAAAGAAAAAAAATTGTTTAAAAGAAAAAACTACACTGCTAATTAAATCTTAAAGAAATTATAAGAATACCCAATGGATACACACATACACTCATCACAATTCTTTTATGTAATTATTAACCAATAAATGACTAAATAATACTGATTGAAAAAATCAGGAGTATAGTATTCCAGCACTACAAATCCAAAACTGACAAAACAAAAAAAGCTTTAGCAGGCATATGGCACACATTCATAATTTCAACCCTGCGGAGGTTGAGGCATATGAATTTTGAGTTCAAGGGCAATCTAGGCTACATAGTGGATCTCTCTGGGACAAGACAGAACGAGACAGAAATGAAGGGGAAGGTAGAGGGAGAAAGGAAGGGATACTCATACTATTCAAACTACTACTCAATTTATATAACATATACAGCAGCCTGTCTCCATGCACATAAAATGAATGAAAGCGCTGCCTAAAGTGTTAATATGGCTCTTCTCGTAAATGATGGTAAGTCTGATTGATTTCTGACAGTGGTTTGAATTATCTGAACCAGTGAACACACACCATTTTCAAGAAACAACAAGACATTTAAAGACTAGGCAAGGGAATTCAATTTAGGTATTCCAGAAACTAAACGTATTCTTTACCTTGACTTTGTACTTCAGCCCAATCCAACGGAACTGGAGGTTTCCTTTTCCGCCACAGTTTGTCCATTGTCAATAGATACCTAATATCATCTTTAAAAAGCTTAAAAAAAAAAAAGCAAATAGGAAAAAAATTCCATGAACTCCATAGGCTGCAAGCTGAAAATCATATTTCACATGTCACTGCTGATTTATTATGACTACTATATTATGAAATAATATTTTAAAATATTTCACATTTTTAAAGGCCAAAATGTGGGGGACCACTTGGACTTGAAAGAGCAATCATCTCCATTTTAGTCAAACCTAGCTCTGCTTCCATGCATTCATATATACAGAGCTGGCTAGGACTTTTCCTTATTCCCCTCAATTGGCTTTAAGCAATGTAAATCTGTCTGGCAGAGGTGCTCTTCGTTGCCACGCCCTGCAGCTTCTAAGCAGCAGGTGTGAATCACATGACTTCCCAAGACATAAAATATTACACATAAACATTACACCCACCCCAAAACATTAGACACTACCTCAGACTGTGTTATGCAGATTACTCCTTCTGTACATCCTTCTCTCTGCTTTTGCAAAGCTGATTTCTGGCACCTACCTGCCCCACTCAGAGCACTCACATCTGTCCCACTGTTCAGTCACTCCTCGGGAGCCACTTCCCTCTTCAAGAATTAATAAAATCTGGGGGTTCAGCCCTGGTCCTGGCCTTTATTTCAGTCAGCCATTATACCAGCTGGACTTAGGGCCCATTCTTTAGCTCCCCACAACTAAAAATACGCCGTGGTGTCTTTATTCTCACCATAGGTTACACCGGAAGTGGTAGGCTGGAATTAACTCACTAGAATTCCAATAACTTTTCCATGGGATTACAAATATAAACTCCCTGGATCTCAATGACAAGGAAGGGCTCTCTATACCAAAAGATAAAAGTTCAAACATTTCATGAAAGAAAATTTTATAAAGAATCCCTACGTAGAAAAAAGCTAAAAGCAGGGGCTGGGGATTTAGCTTAGCAGT